TGATAATTTCTTAAATAACAGATTTTCTATTTATTATCTAATAAATATACCACGTTTTCAAGCAAATCATGTATCATTGAAAACTCTTTATTAAAAACTGACAAATATAAGAATTTAGAAATTAATAGATGTTATTATTATTTACAATTATTCATTTAATGTGATCTAATTTTTAAATAAAATTTAATAAAGTGCAATGATCTTATTTCCAAATACAATGTTAAATTACATTTGATATACTCTTACCGTTTTTCATTATGTTGGTTTTTTGCATAATATGAATTTAATTCATAATTAATTTTGATATCTCATGTGAGATTTTTAACAAATATTTTTTTTACCGTTCTCAAATATTGGTGTGTATTTAAAAAAGGGCTTTGGATCAATTTAAAAAAATGGTCAAACAATTTTGAATAAAATAGTTTCCCATCATCATCTATCTACACTGTGTTTTACAATTTTGGCATTAAAAGCTAACAAATGTTTCGAACAATAATAAAGTTTTATATAGCTTTGATTGTAATCTTTGGTAAACTTGTAGAGAAAGATTTCAATCTTTGATAAATATTTTGGTCAAACGTAAGTAAAGAAATCTTTCAGTAACTTCAATTGAAAGATTTAGAGTACACAATCTTAGCATAATCAGATATCAATTTATTACAAATTTACATAATTAAAGATTTTTTAGAATGATTTTTTAGAATGAAAATTAAAAGAAAGATATTTTGATCAAATATAAGTAAAGAAAATCTTTGAATATCTCCAATTGAAAGATTTTTGAGTGCACAATTATAGCATAATCAATTATCAATTTATTACAAATTTACATAATTAAAGATTTTTAATATCGTAAATGTAGTATTTACGATTTTTATTTAACTCTAAGAAAAATTTTCTCCGATTTAAATTCTTAAGATTGCCATTGAGTNAAAATATTATAAATATTTTAATCAAGGCATAATACTACAAATATTTCAATATATTGAAACTTTGTAACATTTAAACTTTTTAATCGTAAACCATTTTTCATGTATTAAGTTTTAATCAAAAATAAAATATTATAAACATATTTAATTTATAATATTTTAGTGTTTTGACCAAATTAAAATATGTAGATTGCCATAGAATAAAAATATTATAACCATTTTAATCAAGGCACAATACTATAAATATTTCAATATTTTAATTGAATTAA